CGCCTACGGTAAACCCATACAAGAATCATGTGGCTAATGTCTCCCCCTTCAGTCTACTTTGGAGTTCCTCATGTTTAAGGAGGTGACATTTTTGGGCCTATTGTCACAAATTATTTCCCATAAATTAGAGTAGGAAACCTGGTTTTACACACACTTGGCTGGCTGATTAGGTTCCCTCTTTTCTGAGAGTTAAAAAAAGCCAAATACCACAGACGGTTGGCGGTGCCAGTTTAATGCAGAGTCAGTCGGCGATGTGGTGAGGCTGGCCGTCTGTGTTGTTTTGTGCCCGTCTATCAGAGGGCTGGGGAAGTTTCCTGCCATTTTGACGGGGAGCGGGGTTTCTTTGAAGGGACAGGAAGGCAGAGCTGCATTTCCCACAGTTTAATGTGAGCTTCATGGCCTAGTAGTGACAAACCTTTCTCTCTCTCTCTCTTTCTTTCTTGAAGTCTGACTTATACATAGAAATCAATGCATGCATGCAATAAATCTAGTGGATTATATAACAAAAAAGTTGTCTGCAATATTCCACATACATGTAGACTTAGACAGCACAAATCATAGTTTATAACACAGCTAAAAACGAATAGAAAGGAGTCAGCTTTATGATGAAAAGCCTGTTATTTTGTCGGGAGGGTGCCTCTAATTATTTTAATGTGAGAGACAGGCCACACAGACAGCGAGGCCAGTTCTACCGCAATGTAATCTGTCTGCATGCAACTTCACAAGTATTTCACCTTGAATAGGGTTCAGTGTTTTAGCATGTATCACCTTACAACCTTTAATACGGCTGTAATGTTATTTTATTTTCAACAGAGTACAAAAACCATAAGGCATAATTGCAAAGAAGTAAATAAAAAACAAAATATGAGCAAATCTTAATGTAATCTTTTAGAATTAGATCTAGTTAGTTGGTTTCATCTGGATCAAAGTCCTTAAGCTCTGACTTGCTTCTGCAGCTTTAGCGTTCATTTTCTGGGTAAGTTAAATTTCCATCTAATCTGACCAAAGACATTTCTTCAATGGGGGTTACTGTTTCCCCTGCACTGTTTCTCAAAACTTTTGAAAGGAATTTCTATTTCTCTGCTTTGAAAGGGTAGGTTTGTAGTTTTGCAACGTCTTCCCATGGTTGGATTTGCTGAACAACTTTAAAAGGACTGATTTTAATCAGGTTTTTATATTCTTCTACTTTAGTTATACATGACTTTCTGCTAATCTACTCCTTAACGTCTCAATCTAATAAAATCAAATACAGATCTTATGTTTATCAGAGTTGATTTCTAGCTTGAGTTGAGTTAATCAAAATTTGTCTAGTTAATTTCCTTATTATTGCTACTGAGTTTGCATGTAGTTTTTTGCATTGTATTCCTTCAGCCAAGTCATCAAGACTTAAAAATGCGGCACACCCTGGTTCAGAATAAAAAGGGGCTTCTTTAATCAAAGATAAATAAATAAAACATTCATGTTGGCTTGATGGTTTGTTTTGGTGTATTATTTATCGGTTCAGTGAAAACACGTGAAATGTTCCCAGATTTGTCCTGATCTGACCCAGGAAAGAAGTCCATTCCTGTGCAACTTTCTATATGTCCGACTGTGTCTGTCTTCTATCCTGTCCTAGCAAATGTTCAGAGCTAATAAAGGCTTGCATTCCCATGGCTTGACTCTATATGCAAGTTGATTTCATGCTAATGAATCATAATGGGAACAAAGCTCTGGTGCAGGTCCATCTTAATTAAGAAAAAAATGCCTTTCCTAAAGGCTCTGGCTTTAAAAGGAGGGGCTCATTTTTATGCTACATTCGATATTTCCTAGAAGTTAGAGCTTGGTTTACACGCTTTAAAGTTTTGAGTCATAAAAACAGAGGGATCTGTTAATTCTGTGCTGCTAAAGCTAACTGGCCAACAAGCCAACAATAATGATAATCTCTAAAGGGTTCTGTCCCACTGAGTAAGTCAGTGGCACAATAATATAGAAACTCGGGTAGTTTACACCTGCAACTTTCATTCCATTTTAATACATTGTAACCAGCTGTGGTTTGTTTGGGGACCTCAGACGTTGCCACCATGATCAACTTTAGGAAGTGTTCCTTTTGCATTTCTTTTCTGGAGAAAAGAGAAAAAAAACTTAGTGCAAGAACACTTTAGCCTGTTGAGTCATATGTTATTTCAGGAACCTTGTATAGTTCTCTTTAATAGACAATTCCACTCCAATTGTCAGGATGTTGAATAAGGCAGCTGTTGTTCTGTTTCATTTTAAGTTTAATTTCTTGAACATCGATTCTTGTCGCAACTTTTAGTTTCTTAGTCCCTGCTGATGTGCTTCATAGTTATGGAACTACTTGTTTAGTTGAATAACATTGGGTATGTTACTTTTGCTGTGCATTATTTGGTATGTTTACATCCAATTTAACAAACTTTAAAAAAATCTAGAAAAATATACATTTATAAAAAAAAATATCAAATTAGGTGTGCTTCCATCTATTGGTTTGGATCAAATTACCCAGACTATGCAAAGCCTAATTTATTTTTTTCCTGTCAAACAGGAAGTAGTAGTTGCAAATTAGCATGACACAATAAATAGAGGTTTATATAGAAAGCTGTGTTATGGGAGCATCTAGAAGGATCCTAACAGTTGAAACATTGAATCTCCTCTTTAAGCACATTAACTCTTTGGGAAGATCAAAAACCAAGCTCGAACAAAATTACACACTGCAAACTGAGAAAGCATTTTCAAACTTTGCCATTTCCATCAAACCTTATTTTATTGCAATATTTTGAAATGTCCAAACAAAATGTTGATAAAAATACAGGTACAGTCTGTTTTATACTTTTTATATCTAAGAGAGGAATAAGCCAAGCTGTATATTTTCAATCTTTGTTTCAAGCATCTTGAGGTGAGAAATCTATTATCGCTGCAAACAGTTTGTACAGTTAAAATGTTTCAAACTATTAGGCAGATTTAAATTTAAAGTTATCTTTTGATTTAATCTGTTTAAATCTGTTTAAATTTGAATCTGTTAAAAATTAGGTTGATAGTAAGGAGGCCTTTCCAGACTTTTAGCTCATCATCAAAGATAAATCATCAAAAATCGATGAAAACATGTAAAAATGCAGGTTGTAGTAATAATTTTTTCTTATTTTATTTGACTAATCTGAACATTTAAACAAATGTAGGTACGCCATCTAAAACATGTTCATAACAATACTTTTATTTGAATCTATTTCTAAAAAAAAAATGATACTCCTTTTTCATCATTTTAGAGATGCGTCTCAATTCCTATCAGAAACAAACTTATTTCATTTCAATCCAAACCTGCCAGAGCTAAAGATTCTTTTGAGCCACTTTATGTGCAGCTGAATAAGTTCTACTAAGCAGCTTAGTGTAAGTGATCCTGTAGTTCTCCACCATTGTCGTCATATAAAAGTCTCCTATATCTTTATGTTCCATCATTGCAGCCTTATTCCCATTAAACCCAACTTCCATGTAACTATTTATGGTTTGAGAGTAAAAGCTTATCTCTACCCCCGGCTCATCACCAGGACCAACTAGCAGGTCTCTGTCACAAAGAGCACTTTATTTCTAATGAAACATCTTTCCGTCATGGAAATCCTGCCAGTACAATAACACTGAAAAACAAACAAAATCTGTGGCCCAAATCATTACAGCCTCAATTGTTTTTTCCTCCTCTATGTCCTGATTCCTAATAGGTCCTCTGATTAGATTCCTCCATCGATATCAGTAGGCAGCCCTACTCACGCCATGGCGCTCAAACAAACAGTAATTCAGCTCTGCCATTTGTTCTTAAGGTGTGGGGCTGGGAGCGCGGAGGAGCAGGGAGGGTGGGAAACTTCAGCTGAGCTACTGTACATATCTAAGCCTTGATGTGGCAACAATGTGTTCAGTTAGGACGGGTGCCGGCGCGTTGGGTCACTTCCTTCCTACTGGGGCTGAGAAAGAAGTAGGAGACCAGACGGGCCGAAAGGCCGCGGTCCAGATACCGATTCCAGCACAGCGCTGGGTGCTGTCTGTGCTCTGTTTTGCTTTTTTTTTTTTTTACAGAGTAAGCTGAGGCTGTCTTTGGTTTTTTTGTTGGTGTGTGAGGACAGCCAATGCCGACGAGCGTGGGAGAGTGTGCACGGTGAGCTGGGAGACACCTCAGGCCCCCCGTGTGAGCGCTGCAGAAGTCCCTGAATGGGCTTGATTGTACACAAACAACACACATACACACTCAGTCATACGCGGACGGACCATTTATTAGTGTTACCTAACTACGCACTTGAACAATGAGCAGTGGCTAAACTTCCTCGCTTTGTCTGCCTGCGTATAACTTCACAAGAGCTTTCAGGCTGTTCTCACACAGACACACAAATAGTTGTTTTGTTTCTCACATTTACATACAAACACTGACGAGCACATGCATGCAGAGATGCGGAGAATGGAGAATAAAAGCTTTGTAAATACGCAGCCTCATAATTTAGAAGACCTATTTAAGCATCAAGCCATTTTATTGGGCTGGCTAATCGGATGTGAGCATCCATTTATCACAAAAAAAACAGCAGTCATCAGAATGGAAGAAAGACACCTTCTCATAGCAAGGAGGGGTGAGTAGGTCAGTGAGAACGGACATGTTGTCTGTAAAATGGCAATGGCCTCCGTAACCTCAGACATCCATCAGTCAGCTGAACCCTGGAAGCAAACCGCCTTCAGTTCCACTTACCTGACCCTTCAGCCCTTCTGATAAAATCCTGGACAACTGGAAAACCCACACATGGACACAATTCACACTAATGCTTTCAAGCAATGAGCTGCTTTGATTGATGGGAATGAATTTCAGCAGACATCCTCTGCAGGTCAATCTGATTCTTAGGGTGAGAACTACTGTGCTGAGCAGAATTATTCACATTACTGGACTTATTCCAACTTTCTTTTTTATTTATCGGCTCTGTAACCAGTGAGGCAAATTAATCTGCAGCAATGAAACCTGTAGTAAGACCAGTGCCTACCGGGTATCCGTATGAAGGACCATCCATGGCGAGGCTGGAGGGCCATCACGCCCCCCGGGGTGTGTGGGTGGATGGTGTTGGCCCTACCGCGCCAATCTGAGGCCAGTTCAGGGGAGCCATACAGAAAACACTGCCTGTAGACCGTTCCCCCTCCGCTGCGCATCACCCGCCACTCGTACTCGGCACTCCGGTCAACACAATACCGCTCCATGGGAACTGCAGTCACCTAGGCAACCGGAGATAATATGTGTGATGGAGAGGAAAGAGCGAGGCCTTTTGTTTTTGTTTTATTTTTTTTTTAATTAAAATAGAATCTGAACAAATGAGATGAATTCTCATGTAAACGTATTCTGTAATAACTTCACCTGATTTCTTTACAGCTGTACTAAATGCAGATGGGTTTTAATGAACATTCACCCGCTGATTCTGTGTATTTGTGTGTGAACATGTGTTTGTGGTTGTTATAGAAAGCTTAACAGCTTGAGAACAACCTGTGTAAAGAGCTTTTTTTTTTTTAAAGGTTTGTTTGTTTTAAGAGCAGCTGTAAGGCCTTGGGGTCAACCCCCACCTACCCTGTAAAACACACATTTCATAGATAAGAGCTTCTCATTGTTAAAAACCAACAAAAAGCAGTGCTTCCCTCTTCTACTGCCACGACCACCCAAACACTCTCACCACTTTCAACACGTTCAGGCCAATAACACCATTCACACAGCAGGACGCTGTTGGAGCATCTTCCCGAAGCACTAACCTTAGGGGTGGCAGCCAGCAGGAATTTAGGGGGCAGCGTGGGTTCACAGGGTCGGAGGGTGGAGGTGGCACAGTTTCTGCTGTGGATCTTCACATCTGTGTGCCCCAGCAGTCCTGGCCTGGACGCTGTAAAAACCAGATCCTAAATAAAGAAATAAAGTAATATATTATCCATACATTATAGCATAAAGGAAGAAGTGAATAAGAGCTTCTACTGAGCAGATCAAACTGGATATATTTCTAAAACATTTACATAACATTGTCTCAAAAAGCTTAACTTAATATGTTAAATCTGTGACTCAAGTGTTGAATTTTTAAATGCATGAGAATAAACATTCATTTCTTATCTAATACTTGGACAATAGATGGTGTGAAAAAAAAAACATTTGGAGAAATCTAAGAATAACACAGAGGTTGATTCTAGAGGAGTTCATAGGGGTTGGTGGTTTGGTTTCAATGTGGCTACACATTGCCACCTACTGGCAGACCAAAAAAAACAGCATTGGAGAAAAATATACTTCATTTTATCTCACTTTCATGTTAGCAAATGCTATTAGTTTACCTCACATGCTGAACTTCTTGTAGCTTTTTTATGTAAAAGAAAAACATAAAGTCATAAAGGAGTTTAACACTACAACATTTTAAGAAATAATTATAAATTGTTGCAAAAAAAAAAAAAACAATCCACTGGACACTGAACACATTTTTGAGTTGAAAAAGCTTCCTTGATGGGAAGCGAAACGTCTTAAAACTTGGAAACAAAGTCCAGTGGATTGTTTTTTAACTTTTTTGGAATGACTATGAACTGGATGACTGAGAATCTTAACCAGCAATTAAAAATTGTATTTAGCACCCCATTGTTAGAACCTCTTTTCGCTGAACTTACAGCTACCAGTTTTTAGCCACCTCTGCCAGCTTGACACTAAATGTTTTTACCAATTCTTTAAACAAACTAGCTTATAAGTATAGTGGAGGATGTTCTTTTTCCGGGTAGATCATCAAAACAAGTTGTCCTCCTAATTCTATGTAAATATGTGACGAGTGAATTTCTCCGCTGTGAGATCAATAAAGCTCATCTAATCTAATCTAAACGAATCTAATTGTCAATCATTCTGTCGATATGTTAACGTAAAGCCGTCCTACGTTAGCCTCGTGAGACCATCCTGATCGAACGTCCAATCAGAGTTGGCTTTGAGGCGGGTTGAGGTGTGACGCAACGAGAAGCGCGACAGTTCAGTCCCAAGAACATGGCGGCTTCAGCCGATGAAACTAGCGTCAGCGTGGCTATCGAGCAAGTTTTATCGGAATTACAGAGTATTTCTTCACTGAAAGAAGAGCAAAATACTGCTCTGGAGGCTTTTCTCAGAGGAAAAGATGTTTTTGCTCTTCTCCCGACTGGTTTCGGCAAGAGTAGCCTGGCTTGTGGTTGTGTTTTCGTCGTCGCTCTGTTAGTACGTCATATGCTTCGTTGATCCAATCAGCTAACCAGTATGCGGAGCGAATCCATCTGGCGGAGTCAGGTTAGTCCTACGTGCTTGTCCCCATTTTTACTTATGGGTGGTGAGTCTGACAAAGTGGAAAAATTGCAAATCTTCTTTTGTAAACTAAGCTTGTATGAGTGATGCTAACAGAAACTTTTAAACAGAGCGTGCAGAAGGAGAAATGGTCTCCTACACGCTCTCAAACGTGTTTAATAGGCGTCCCCCTTGGGAGCGGGTACAAGGTTGTGCATGTGCTTTAGTTTTTTTTAAGTGGAAAGGGCAGGTCTTTTCAAAACTTTATGAAAATCCTCCACATTTGAGCTCCATTAGATCGAAAAGGGAGTAGCAAGAAAAATCAATGTTCTGGTCTTTTTATAACTGCCCTGAAGAATTAAAGTCTGGCCTCTGACTGAGCCTTTCTGACATATACATTTGTTTTAATCCAAACCATCTAGGCGTTTTTTTTATTAAGTAATCAGGCAAGAGGTGGCCTCTTTTCAGATATGTTTTTGTCCACAATTATGCTCGACTTTGTGTTGGTCTGACAAAAAACTCTGAGGTTTGTTGTGTCTTTAATATTAACTCTTGCTAGGTGTGGTAAAAGAAAAATCCTGTGATTAGATGTAGGAATATTCAGCCCCTGTTCTTCCACAGTCTGCCAGAAAACCTGAATATAAAACCGACCACGATGTCAATCATTGGGTAAAATAAGAACGATGAGCCAAGAAGAGAACGGCTAGTCTCTGCAAGAAAAATAAGCCGCTGCAAGAAGTTGGCCCAAGCTACAGGAATGAGGGATTTCTACAAACAAACGGGGCAGTGTTTGAATTAAGCATGGTCTATAAAGTTTAAACTCTTCTGATATATTCAAGTTTATGGGTCTCATTTGTTTTTGTTTTTTTATTTTTTTTCCAAAGGGGAACGCTGAGATGTAATTGACGTCAGCAAGAAATATTTCTAACCCCTTAGTATGTGAAACTATAACTACATTGGTGAGAGTTGATGTGACACACAGCTGACCACAGACAAACTTGATTGTTTATGTTTTGACCCCTTCTGACAAGCAGAACTGCAGGGGTTTTCTGGAAGCTGTTACCAAACAAATAAGAGGTGATTTTGTCCCCTAGTGGTCTGTCTATTTGAACTGGACGCAATTCCCACATTTCAAATGGCATTACAGAAACATAAATATTGCGATCTGATCATGTACCTCGCAGCAACACAATCCCTTACAAAGGTTTTAAGGGAAGCAAAGGCAAAATAACACGTTCTATTATCTGCCATGAACATCCAGAACTAACAATGACGTCTAAACATGGATGGATGGATTTGTTGTTATGAGTCTGGTACAGCCGTTTTGGAGACAAGCTAAGTTTCTGTTTTTTTTTCCTGAAATTATATAACATTACAATTGCTTTCAAGTTTATTTTGTAAAGAAATTGTCTTTTACCACCAAGTGGAAGACATTTCTTGAACAAAAAAGACACACAGAGTGTCTAAAGAAGCAACTGATACTAGTAGCAAACTACTAGAACCACTTGCCTTGGAAAACATAGCTTACATATCGTCCATTGAAGCATCTCATCTGAGCCAACTCAAGTGCTTGACTTCAGTTTGCACTTGTTTATAAAACTAATAGTTTTGTCTGTTTTTACCCTTAAAACATAAGTTTTTAAGGGTAAAAGTCTGTACAATGTATCTTTAAAATAATATTAATCATAAGGATTAATATTATTTTAAAGATACATTGTACAGACTTCATGAGGCATTTGATTTATTGTTTGGGTTGTGTGTGGTTTTTATTTCCATTTTACAGTTTTCTGGATTTGGTTGTTTTTTTAATCCAAGTGCATTTTATTTATTGTTTTAGGTTTTGTTTTTTTTGGCATATTCAAAATGTCTTCTAGCTCCAGTGTTACGTTCCCTTTAGAAATTAAAGTTAAAGCAGGCATACAGTGTATTATTTTTTGCCCTTTTCGTGCTGATTCTCCAGTCGTGCGAGAATTTTTTGGATCGGGCTGAGTTTCAGCCTCATTGTGCGTCCTGCGTCGTGTACTATATAGGGGGTAACGAGGGGCGATCAGTCTCTCACGACCACCTCACGATCAGGAAACATAAGGTTTGAAATCCAGTCGGCTCTGGTGAGGCATTCCTGAGCAAATCCAGCTGTTGAAGCTGAGTAACGAATCGATTTACCAGGACCTCAAGCACTGCACAGGAGCAAAAAATGGGAGTTCTTCTTCTTCCAGATTGACGAGTCCTACCAGTGGAATCTGTCGGTGCTGAGTCTGACGTGTGGTTTTTGGACGTACAGTGTGAGCAGTGCCATTGCATCAGAGCTTTGGGCCGTAAAGTGTAAGAACATTCATCATGAGCTGTGAACTTTAAAACCCTGCGGTTTAAATGGATATTTGAGAGTGTATACTTGCATTTGTTTACATTATTATTATTACAGTACTTTAAGATGGTTTCCAAATTGTAATAATGTTTTTCGCAATAGTTTCTTGAAAAAAACTGTTGTCCAGCAAAATCTATAAACATTATTAATTTTAAGCCATTTAAAAAAAAAAGTTATTTTAGGTGTTACATTTTTTCTTCATATGTCACAAACTCAGGATGAACGTGGTTATAGAGACACAAACGTTGACGGTTCAGAGATTTTAGTCTTGATTAAGATCATATTCCAGTTAGAAATTAATGCCAACCAATAAAATGTCTTCTTCACATGCCACAGTCTGTGGGCGTCTTATTGTTTTTAATTACCTGGAGGATGAGACTGCTTTGTGTGTTTGGGAAGGCGGTGGGTCTGTTGAGCCACAGGATCAGATCCTTGCGAGTAAGACACTTGTTGCCGTGATGCATCCTCTCTCCAGCGGCCTCCACATCACCAGCCTCCGCTTGGGGCTCCTCTTCGTGGTTGAACAGTCGTTGATAGTAGAGCCGGTAAGCAGCTTTCAGGGACAGGAAAAGACCTAACCATCTGAGAGACAAACAATAAAATGTAATCACTAAAAAAGGATCTCAAAAAGGAAAACAAAATCCATAGTTGCAGCATATTTTGTATTTGTTTTAAGAAAAATAAACAGCATTACAATCAGACTTTCAATACCCACCTCACTAAGGTGCCTTGAAGCATCATATTGGACATCTCTGCTGGTGACACATCAATAAAGCGCAAAAAGGAGAAGCAGCTTCCCTTTTCATCATCTGAGACGTCACAACCAGAACACAGAACAATGAATGTGACACTGCTCACTGAATGCTGTTGCTGCTATGCTTTGTTCTCTGCAGTGAGCTCACCTCTTCTATGAAAAAGGGACTGCTGGATGTGATTCGGCGAGAAAGGAGATAACAGCACTTGTAGCAATCTGAGAAAGATGAGGACAGATATGTAGAATAAACCACTGCATACAAAGACCAACACTGTTAGAATGCAAGGAAATAAGACAGTATTTAGACTGTCAAACCTTTCCACATGTTGTTGTTTTTTGATTTGATTTGACAAACATCAGTTGGGACAGAGAGAGGGGTCAGATTGTAATCGAGGAATCCATTAGAGTTTAACTTCCAACAGGAAATCAAGTTCAAACAGACGACCACAGCTATGGAAGAGCGGGACAGAGCAGAGAGCGTCCAGAACTAAATCTAACCAAGCATCTGTGATGAGACGTGAACAGCCCTGCTAGAATCTGATTATTCTTCAGCTACATATTTTGTAAAGATGAGGGAAATCTTTTAGGGTCCAGGTGTGCAAAAACATTTTAAAAAACTCAACAAATGACTGTGATTGGTATTAAAGGTAGTTCTATTATGATATAATATGATGTAGAAACCTCTTTTCCTTCTCCTATGCTTCCCAATCAGTGATGTTTTCGTCAGCGATGATGAATTTAGTCGGAAGACGTTCCTTTTTTTCATGACGATAACGAAAACTGAGGAGCTAAACATAGATTTTTGATGACGAAAACATGGCGAGTCTTGGTTATGAGTTTTTGTTGATGGGGCGAGACTGTATAAAAATGTTAATAGGTGGTCTATAAAACATTTAAAATGCATCATTGTGCTACAATCCGTTAGATAAGCTAAACAGTAAATTTAGGTCCAGATGAATATGGCATTATAAGCAATTATGTAGGTTCTTTGTGTTTTTTCTTTTTCATATCAGACCCCTATGAATTTAAATCTACTTTGACCCATGAGCAGCAGTAACCAATGGGCAAATTCTTAGAAATAAAGCCAAAATTGCCAAAGTAGAAACAAGACTGTTTTTGTTCTTTGCTTTTTTGGAGTAATGAAGATTGATCGATCGGTGGGTAATGCATAATTCATTGTAGATCAGGAAGTTTTTTCTTTTGGATGGAGACACTGTATGTCTAAAACCAGTCATTTATTATTGTACATTTTGTCAAACAAGGTTATGTGCTGAACTAGATCTGCTGTTTCCACTTTTTGTGAGACACTTTTATATAAAGTAGGACATTAATTCATGAGAAAAAGTTTATTTATATTCCATAAATCAAAGTTTTCTGCTTAACAGTAATGATGAACTGCACGGCGGCATTCTATACCCAGCAATTGTAGTATCTAGGCAAGAGCTGTCAGTCTGGTAAAGAATCTGGTTGTTATTAGAATTTGTAAATGTTAATTGTTTAATGAATTGCAACATAAAACTGACTAAAACTAAACTGAAACATTTTTAAAATTTTAGTTTACTAAAAAAATATCATATAGTAATGACGTGCATGACGCGCTTCAGAAGCAGCAGATGCTGGAGTTGGAAAAACTGAACTTTTGCTGCTCGATGCGTCACATCAACCAATCAGAGAAGTTGATCTGGGAGCTGGCTGAACTGATTGCACAGATGAGGTTTGTTTAGGTGGACTTTCTCATTTAAAAATATGTTAAAACTACTTTTTCCCCACTTATAACAGCAAATATGGCAAAGCCGCTCTCTACCACTAAATGCAGTAGGCAGCAGAAGAATCGGACGCATCTGGACACACTTTACTGGACGAGATTCAGGAGCATCAAAGACGCACTTGAGGCTCGTCGGACCTTAATGTGTACGAGCTTTAAAAATGAAGCAGCAGAAGCTTTTTTGCTGCTTCCAGCACTTGCCATCTGAGCATAGCATAAAACTAAACCTAAGGTAGCTGTCAAAAACAACACTGATCCCAGTAAAATATATAAAAATGTGTTTGTGGTGAGACAAAAATGAAAACAGTTTCAAGGTGAATGGAAAAGATTTGAGGGTTGTGTAGATTAAGCAGAAGCACTGACTGGCGTGGTGCGTTTTCTAGAAAGATGGAGTGTGCCGTGCAGAGGAACGTACTTGTTCTTGGACTGGTTGCACATGTGGATCAGACCATGACGGTAGAGAAACTTGGAAATGACGTATGGCTTGATAGACATGTGGAAAGGGGAGCGGGTCTCCTGACGCTCAAACAGGTCAGGGTGGTTGCAAACCTGCGTACAAATATAAGATTATCTGTGCTTTTTGGAGACGGTGGCACCGACGAATAATGGAGTTAATTACTGTTTCTTTACCTCTAGTAGAAACATTAAATTAACGGTAAAAAGAAAATCCACTTTCTGGACTCAGATCGGATACTTTGTTGAAACAGAGACTGCATGTACCTTCCTGAACTGCATGACCAGGTTCATGAGCGAGGAGGTGGTGCTGCTGGCCTGCTGGGCCGTGCCCATGGAGGACTGAAGAAGATCTTCGATGGAGATCTTGTTCCTCAGAGCCTGGTAGAGCAACCTCTGACGGGACGTCAGCTGGCAGTATTTTAGGATTTCAATCTGCAGAGTGATAAAGGACAACTGTTTAAATAACCCATTCATATTCACACCAAGTTAGCTTAGCAGGATATCACAGAGTGATTCTGAAAGACCCCAGAATCATCTCCATGTTCAGATAAACTATAGAAGAGAGGAAGGCAAAGGAAATAAAATAGAAAAGATAAACATTTAAAAAAAAAACAAACACTAAAATCCATGTCTGTATTACTGTACGTATCACCCCATTTATAAGGACAGCGAACAGCAATAATCCAAACCGATTTTCCACATGGAGGGAACTTCAGCTGCCTGCATTGGGTTTAGAAAAGCTGGCGCACAACAAAAGTGGAAAAGGAAAAGAAGTGGGCTGGCAGGCCTACAAGTGGGCGCTGAGGCGAAGAAGTGAAAAAGACAGATGTGGGGGAGTGGTGACCTCTGCCATTCCTCTGCCTCTGCATACCAAAACTCACACCATAAGTGTGTGTGTGTAGCAGGAGGCTGTGAGCCCAACAACCTTCAGGAGGATCTGCCAATATAAGCATCACTTGCAAGCTTATTGCAACACTTAATGTTTCAGTGAGGAAGACCGGGAGGCAGAAAGCCGGGATTTTCACTAAACTGGGATATCAGTTTTGTACATTTTAGTTTTAGATTAAACTCTCGTCAAAGTATATCATTTTTTTTTATTTATTTTTTTTTATTGGTAAATAATCTTAAACTCTGTGTTCTTATTCCATAAAAAACAGTAGTTCTTAAGGACAGTTTACAATTTGGAATTGAATCATTTTGTTACCTTATCTGAGAGCTCATTTTCCACATCCTTCTTGATCCTGCGCAGCATGAACGGCTTGAGGATCATGTGCAGTCTGGAAAGCTGATCTTAAATAAACAGGAAAAAAATGTACATGTTTCCAACACATTGCCAAAAACAAAAAAAGAGCAAGAATGAAGCACATCTGATGGCAAAAATACTACAGATTAATAGTTTGAAGATCAACATCCCCAAATTTAGGCAGCCGAGAGGAATCTTTCGGTCACACTCACTCTCATCGATGGCAGACTTGTTCTCAGCGTGGCTCTCTATGTCCTTGGAGAACCACTCATTAAACTCTTCGTGGGAATCGAACAGTGTGGGCATGATGAAGTGCAGCAGGGCCCAGAGCTGAGAAACAGTAACGACATACAGTTGTTAACACTCCTGATAAGTGTACACACATTTTAAATCCACAAACACACACTGCCAACCTCAGCCATGGTGTTCTGGATGGGTGTCCCTGTCAGCAGGAGTCTGTTTCGACACTGGAACTGCAGGAGGATTTTCCATCGAACGCTAGGGAGACAGAAAAAAGTTCTTAAAAAAGCCGCAAACATTTGTCGCCAATATTAACACGCTAGCCACCAGAAACGGCAACTGGACATCCTGTGTGGGTTTTTTTTCCATATAGTTGAGTAAATTCTGACTTGTCTCCAACAAAAACATGTATGATGCATAGCTGTGCAGCTGTGCTTAGTAGGTGAGAACATTTTCCCAGATGTTTTTGTTGATTTTGAGCTAAAGAACGGCCTTCTTGAAATCAATATTCTGGCTGATTTATGATGCGCTGTCCTCACTTAACAGCTCAGGCTTTGTATCAGCTCCACAAAGTGTTGGTTTAAACATAAGTTGGCAAACTCTCTAAAGCTATTTAGATTTAATGTTCATGTCTGGAGTTCTTTTTGAGATTGTAGAGATCAAAATGCCCAATTTTATTTCTGTACTCCCTCATCTAATTCTACTATGCAGAGTCTAATAGTAGCATGGATAAAAATAGATTTTTTAAAGAAATTTGCTTTACCTGGAGCTGCTTTTCAAAGCCTGCGCCTCATCCAGAACCATGTACTGCCACTTGACCCTCTGGAAGTACTTGACATCCTGGACCACCAGCTGGTAGCTTGTGATCACCACATGGAAAGGTGCGTTTTGGGTATAAAGCGTTTTCTAGGGAAGAGTTTACAACAAACAAATTAAGAAGTAAAAGATAATAATGTCTCTTTGGAGTCAGATTTTTGAAGTAAAGTAAAAGTAAAAGTTTAAGCATTTTTCTTTAAGGCAGTAGTTTCCTATTTTAGTTTCTGTGGTTAGTATAAATCTAGATGATCTGGTCTTGGATAATACATATGTAAAAGCAAATAACTGTTTAAACAGTAAATGGAGTTTGGAGGTGGTGTGTCACTAAAACCTTTCTAGTGTGAAACAAGAACTGAGATCAGAACTACTACTTTAAACATGTAAACTACAATGTAAAAAAAAAAATATAGTGTTTATTATATGCTTCAATCTTTGTTTTGTAAAGATTACTAATGATGCTCGCTTCAAAAAGGTTGAGAGTTGATATGAAATCGTTTTTGTTAGCAAGTCTGAGGTGTTCTCAAAATTCATGCTGTTCAAAACACTGAAGTCCACTTTTATCTTGCCCTTTCTAGACATTAGCTTCAGCCTTCAGGACAAAATTATCTGGATTCCTAAGAAATAAGTATGAAAAAATATAAATTTCTTTCAGGCAAAATACTAACAGCTTTTTCTGAACCAGTCCTTTAACACTTCATGTAAAAATTATAATTCTATGGTACCTGACTCCAGAATTTCCGAATTACTTTGCGATCATGCGGATTCCCCCAGTACGGCAAAACCTGCGGGACACAAAAAAAAAAAAACATAAAATAAGTTAATTTACCAAATAACACACTTCTTCAAATCCTTCATGGTTATGGTGATTATTGGGAGAAAAATACTAGTGATGTTCACAGGAGAACACAAAAAAAAGGCCCAACATCTCCAGTAAATCACAGGCTGGGCTGCTGATGTAGAACATGATGTGAAAAGAAATACACGTCACTTGATCCCTCAACACAAGCTGTCAAACCATTGTTTTCAGTCAGCCTTGCTTTCTTGCCCAGGAAGCTTATCTTTAGATTGTGTAATAGGCTCCTTTTGCACCTCATTAGCAAAGCAAACTGGAATGGATTTTCTTCCAACATTAATGATAAAGTGAGCTGAATGCTAGGGACAACAAATATGAGGGGTGTGTGTGAGCTAATTTATAGCTGTGTTATAGGTTTAATAGCCGAGTTCAGTGTGTGGAAAAAAGCATTTAAAATTAGATCAAATTATACCCATGGGGAGTATGGTTACAAATTAGGTGATGTCCGAAAGAAACAAGCATTTTCTTTAGTGGTATCAAAGAAAAGGCTGAATATGATCACATTTAGGATTTTTATTTGTAAAACCCATTTAGTATTTTCCTTCATTTCAATGATTATGTTCTCCTTATTTTTAAGCTATCAAGTTAAATCCAGTCAGGTTACATTTAAATATGATTGTAATCTGAAAATGAATATTTAAATTAAAGCATTTTCATAAAGTGACAAAACATGTATCCAAAAGCCAAGTAAAGACAACTTCTGATCTTGAAATTTCAAAATAATCTGTTATGTAGAAAAAATTGCAATGCTACAATACTGCCCCCTAAGGGGTGGTTGTAGTAAAAATCAAAATTCAACATATTTACTAGTTTTGACACAGAAACTGAGAAGAGGAAGAAAAGATAAAACATAATAGGAGTAAATAGGGAACGGGTTCACATGAGGAAGGTTTTCTGCAGTTTCTGTTGCAGTCGGCTGTCTCCCCTACCTTGAATTTTGGCACAAAGCGGCTGAACTCCTGGTGCCAGTTGTTGAGGGTAGACGCCGGAGAGATGATAAGGAAGGGACCCCAGATGTTGTCTCTCTGTGAAGGAGAAGGGCAGGCATCATCAGCTGCTAGAATAGAGGGTCTTTATATATGAGGTTGACGGAGGCACCAGGAAAACATTGCATCTTTCTGTCAGCGGTCTAAACGGCTCACATACTTCGATTACTTCTCTTCCCCTCTTTAGAGGTTTTCAGCTATTTACATTTCTGAAAACTGAAAATACTCAAGCAGTCAAATGCACCTAAAAAAAAGCATTGCTGCAAAACTAAGGACTATTTAAAGGAAACAAGGTGCAAACAGAGGCGAGAAACAAATTCCAGCATGTTTGGGGATAGAGGAGTGAATGAAATCCCCTTTGGCCTCTCTCTCACCTCCGCTAGGTGGGCTAGCAGGGCGATACTCTGAACCGTCTTCCCAAGTCCCATTTCATCTGCCAAGATTCCATTTATTCCCTGTGGATAAGAGCAGAAAACAAAGGGAGAACAAAATTACTCCATGTGGGCACATAATGACCAAATGGTTTGCCAAAAGGCTTGCGAAACTAAAAAACTTCAAATACATCGTTTTGACGAAATGCTGACCACACAGTGTTTTGTTACTGAATTCTTTTACTTAAACACTCACTTCTTTAAGTAAATAGAAAAGCAACCAAATACGTAAAATTACAGAAATATTTAAACGTTTGAACTTTTTATCGTTTTTTTCATCTCAATCTTAGGTGTATTTTTTGGGAGTTAAACCTGAAAAACAAACATGAAGTTAAAAAAAAAATTGTCTTTATTATGTTATGGTGACTTTTTAATTTGTAAAACTAACCGTAAACTGTAGTTACAGGTTTAAGTGGTATGTTTCTACCAACTACGCACATCTAGAGGCTGAAGTGTGGGTTTTTACATATTAGGCCATGAATATGCAATGATCTTAAGTGCTTTATTTAACTCTGCCTGTATGTTTAAGCCTAATTCTGCTAGAAAAAATAATATATAAAATCAACCTCTGTCGCAGTTTTAAGCTTTTTTATTTATTTTTATTGCAGTGTATAACAGCTTTTCCTCCAGCTTCGCTCTGCATTTAGCGCCATCTGTTCACTTTGACAACCCTATCTCTGCTAAAGAAAGGAAATCCCATACAATCATGCTGCCATCACCATGTTCGGGATAATACGTTGGTCTATCACATAAAATCCTGATAAAATACTTCAAAGGTTCTAGTTGTAATGTGGGTCATTTTTAATAAATTTAAGGACTATGAATAGTCTTGCAGAGCTGTCAACGCAAAAACACTTTGGCCACATAAATAGAAAAAATATCTGCCAAATTAAGGTTTTTCTGTTAATTTATATTTAATCTTTAAAGCAAAAGCACAAAAAATTGTTTTATTATGTATACTAACCAACTTTAATGTTCAGAAAACAAGAATTTACAAACCAGAAAATTTAAATGTTGGGAAAGAAGTGAAAAAGGTCAAGATTTCAGCTCCTCTACTGTCAGCTCCAATTATCTTTCAGCTTTAAAATCCTTTCCCTTTTTCTCAGACATGGACTGTGGCTTCTCCAGTTGAGCACACATAATGCTTCTTTAAGAATGTAGAAACTAAGAAAATAAATCAACACAACACCGAGCATCTCGCTTTCATATTTCTTTAGAGCAAGCTGGAATCATGACTCAGCTGACCACACAACAGATGTCTTTAACAATCTAGGATGAGCTTGTGCCCAGAAACCTCTGCAGTCTTTTTGTCCGCGGTTCCCTAGTTGTGCAATGAGGTTTCATGTTACATCTCTGGAAGCAGCTGCTGGCTGTGTAGTGAGATGCAGTATGCGACAATTTGCTCACACTTTCCAAAGCCTTCAACAATATTTCACACCATGTTTGCTGAAAGGCTGCTTGTTTGTTTTCTCTACAATTTAGCCTACAGTTATACATGTTTGTATTCTTTTTGAAACATCCTGTGAAGTGATACTGGTGAGAACTGACCGATTCCATGCTTGAAAAAACTCAGCCTTCAGTAGTTTACCCTTTTATAATAAAGATGTAGGACAATAATAATCTGGTGACCCGAGTTAGGCATTGTTCAACTTAAAACAAAACATCAAATCTCCCTTAGCGTTAAATGTATAGTGGAGGTTTTTCGAGAATTTCGCGAAAAAGCACATGCACAACCCTGTACCAGCTGCCGAGAGGGAAAGCCTATTAAATGCGTGCGAGAGCATGCACGAGCCCATTTCTCCTCGTGCACGCTCTGCTAAGAAAATGGGGACGAGAACGTAGGAAAGCCTTACGTAAGTAAACATATCACCAGAATGATTGAGAATTAGGAGGACCACTTATTTTGATGATCCACCCCGAAAAAGAACATCCTCCACTATACCTTTAAGTTGTACACTCTTCAGTTCTGAATCGCAATCAAGGGTGTAGAATTTACCCGAGGACCAGGTACCTCACTTGTTGTCGTAACATTACAATCTTTTTTTATTGCATTTATTCATAATCAAATATTTACCAACTACTTTGGAATTACATCTCACACCTCTATAAAGATCTGATTAACATTACAGCAATCAGTTATGAAAAAGTATCTCAGTTTCAAGCATCCAGCATGCTGATGTGAGTGAAGCATGTGAACAGTGTGAGATTAAGTAATGTTATTATTGGAGTCACGTTGCGATCTTTGAGGCAGTTATTTGAAGCTGATCTTATTGATGAATTTTGGATACTAAGAAAACAATGTAAATTTCCTAAATTAGAAACTTTCAACTATTCTATTCAAGTTTTTACTAAAACACCAGACAAGGTTACCTGTTCGTAAAGGTTAGCCAGCCAGTTCATGCCTTTGAGTTGGTAACCCTTGAGTTTTCCATTGAAAATGGTGGGCTGAGGAATGTCTTCTCCTGCTTGGATCGAGGGGTTTGAGAGACTGTAGCTTTCTCCAAACCCAGAGGCGACATGGAGAGAGGCACTGCGGCTGTCTTTAGCCTCTTCATCAAACATCCTCGTCTACAGGAAAAGATGATTACCAATTATTTTAAATAGTTTATTGTATTTTTTTTTTTTACAGAATAAAGTTATATTTTTGTAGATGTGAATAATATCTACTTACTCTCTCTTGATGAATTTGATAAGCTTCTCTAGCATTCCTCAAGGCTTGGGATTTGTAGTATTCACTGTCTGCAATCACATTACATCAATTTGCAAGCATAAACTGTTAAAATAAAATTAAGCATGAGATTCTTTTGACCACATACAACATTGCTTTAACAAACTAAAGGGTGAATTTTTTTGTTTTTATGCTATTTTTAGAATTTTTTACTGTGTTTTTGTAATTAATTAAACATACCATAATCCTCTTGTCCAACATTGACCATCACTCCTCCGCCGACATCTATTTGTCTCTGGGTTGCATTGTCGTCAAGCTTTCGCAAAATGTCTTCCTGTGTTGCGTCCCCTCCAGGCGCCCCAACGCTGGCTTTCCCACTCATAAAATGAGCATAAAGCTCCGTCTGAGTGATGAGAAAGTTCAGTTTACGCTGCTGACGTTTAGCCTGTGAAGAGAGAAAACCCAGTGTTCTCAGTCCTTTCTCATCCATTTTTATAGTTTATATATTTTATTTTAAGTATAAATAAAAAAGTTAAAAAAAATAAAGCCTGGAAAACAAAAATATTTCTATAACTAAATTTTCTTCTGTATCATTTTTGTTACTTGAACAGAATGTCCAGCATCTTCATTCACAGTGAACCTACCTCTCTCATCTCTTCATCCAGTTTCCGCTGCTCCAGAGCTTCCTTCTCAGCTCTCTTCCTGTGCTCTTTTTCCACTTTGTCATATTTCTTCCAGTACAGCATCATCTCCTTGGTGAGGCGGCGAGCGCGAGGCAGCGTCTCTTTGCAGTTTTTCTGAGCCTGAATGGCTGCACGTCTTACTTCTCGCATGCACTGGTGGGCCAGCTAAAAAAATTAAACGGTTAGACTTGCAACGAGAAAAAAAAAAATTACCGGTATTTCTAAAACTTTCATCCAACCAAACACTTATTTGTGTTCTTACTTTTTTTGCATTGGTGAGTAGGACGTTTTTAGCAGAAGTCTTCTGCTTGAAAGTCTGTAATAAAGACAAAAGAGATGAAAGGTTACTAAACACAAAAATACTCTTTAGATGATGGTTTGATAAAATGTTATAACAGCAATAAAATACCCAAAATGTTTCTGTCACACAAACCTTGGGGATCTCCTTTTTAGCAATGGTGAGCCACACTTTACGCCGCCGTGCATTTAGCTGCTCCACCGTCAGATGCTTTTTCTTCACCATGGGCATCGGAGCATCATGGGAAAACTTAGCAAACACCTTGGTGATATAAGGACGCTCCTCATCAGGATATTCTCCTTCTCCTCTTTTCTTTTTCTTCTTGACTTTCTTTAATTTTGCTAGACAAAACAAACAACAACAATGTCATTATGCCATGTCTTTCCTCAACGACCTCATCAAAACTATTCCCATTACCTTTAAACTTCTTCTCATCTTTAATTTTCTTTTTCTTAGGGCCCAGCAGGTGGCGCTGTTGTTCATAGAAAGGATCATGGCTTGATAGAAGTCCAGTGCTGTAGTACTGATACTGATAGAGCTGCATGGAGACAGGTACAAAATTAACACAGATTTGAATTTTGTCGCTGGGATTTCTGATATTAACCCAAAAGCCGATACCTCTCGGTCGGAGTAGAACTTGCTCTGATGCTGCCTGTTGTAACGATGTAATCTAAGCATGTCATGCAGCTCCTCCGGTGACAAACTGAAGTTAGCGTCATCTGACTCCGTGTCAGAGTCGGTGGTGTCGTCACTTAGAAGGATGTTCTGCAGAAAAAAATGAAGAAGCACATAGTTTATGGAGGCTATGTCAGAAAGGGGGATCCAAAATGGTCCTAAAGAAACTAAAACTTTAAAAAAAGAAACAGGACTATAAGCTGTGTACTAACTTTACCATATTTACCCAATATTTAACCTATAACACTATCGATTTGTTACCCATCAACCCTCAAAAAATAACAGTGATCTATGCTGCCGTTGATTAACAGCTAATTAAATTTAGCAGTTAATTACCAGATGATTTACTGGGGACTGTTTACTAAATATTTTTACGAGTATAAGAAGGCAGCCCATAATTACCTTGAGCCATTTCCTGTTCTTTTTCAGCTTTGAAAAATTGTAGAGGTTTGCTTTATCTGCCTTTTGGTCTGCTGGATTCGAACAAGGGGAAAAATATACGGTTTTATAAATCAACATAAAAAAAAGTAATCCATTTGGTCATAAGAAACAACCACGAGGTTTGTTCAACTGTCATAAAGGTACTCTTACCTTTAGCTTGCAATACTCCATTAAGGGGTTTGCTATCTGATAAACCTTCTTCTTGCTCACATGGCTCACTCTTCACCGACAATCCTATATGTTGGCTGGATGCATCCAGGGAAAGCCCTGTCTCCAATTCAGCATCACTGTCATCGCTATCATCACTAAAACAACAAGATAACACTAAAATGTAGAAAAAGCAAACAGTTGACCTGCAGTTTGTAAATGTAAAATCCTGTTTTTCCTGTACCTTATATCTCTGTTAAAGATAGCAGCCGTTTGTCTGAGAAAGCTGTCCAGCTTAAGGGATCTTTCCAGCCGCTGCAGATAGAGAGGTTTGGCCAGACCAGAGACCCCTGGCGTCCCACCCTCCTGGTGGCCGTCTTGCCCTGACGCCATTTGGCACTGACTCCTACGCCCAACAGGGCACAACCTGTTACTGAAGAAATCCATAAATAATGAAATTCCACGACACTGAATATTGTAAAAAAAAAAAAAAAAAGACACTTTATTCATGAGAACCCAGAGTGTTGTTACCGTAAGGGTGAGGAATGGCATTCCTCCTAACTTCAAGACAAATGACCTCACAAAGGTGAAAGAGCCTGTAAGAGAATAAATCCAATCACTTTCTGATGTGCTCGATGTACACAGTGATTCGTCTCTCTAATAATAATTATTATTAATAAAAATAACTGAACTTGTATTGATCTCACATTGGAGAATTCTCCCCTTCTAATTCTTAGAAGTCACATGTCAAATGTATTTCATCTTCTGGAAAGGGATAGGTAAATAAAAGTCTAATGAACAAGCCAAATAGAAAATATTGCCATTATTTTAAGGAAAGTAGCTCTATCATTGACTGAAGCAATCATGCTTATTTCCACAGTGTCTGTCTTAGTCAGTTAAATAACACGCTGCTGTCATTTTTGCACATCTCGGGTGTTTGCTGCTATTTTCACATATACATTACTGGAAAATTTTATAAACATATAATAATATAATATAAATATTATTTTTCAAGTCGAAATTTCCACAGCTGTATATTGATTTTTTTATTCTCCAGATTTATATATTGTAAAAACACTGTACAGTAGAGCATTTTTGTTTCTTTTTTTTTTTCTACTTTTGTCACTCATTCTGTTATTTTGTAACACTTTTTTTGGTCCACATTTTTGTGACTACCTTTGCTATAATCTTTTGCTGCTGTAAAACTACAATTTCCCCATTGTGGGACAATAAAGGGATTTTCTATTCTATTCTAATCCTACTACTACCCCTTATTGTTTAGCTGTAAAGTTAATCCATTAATATGTAATGGATCATTTCAAGTAATCTATTTGATAAAGAGAACATTGATGTTAAATAGCAGTTTCTGTTTGAGGCACTGATTGTATTAAAGAGTAATAATAGTAGTAAGTATATTTTAGGACTTTTAAGAACTTGGTGATGTAGGTTCAAGAGCTTAATCGATTACAATAAACAACATAAGTTACCTTTATAATGTATTTACTGGAAAATGCACAATGATGGACATAATTAAAACAACTTTTTAGAAAGTACATGCCTCAAAATACTTACTAAAATATTGTAGGGATATTGTAAATAATAATGATATATATATATAATTATTTTATTTTTTTGGACTGGGATATATTTATATTTTTTTTTATTTCATAATCATGATGATTGTTCATGAAGCACATCAATGCTAGTGCTGTTGTAGGGCTCCTGTGGCTAGCTAACCTTGCGTGGCTAGCATACAAGCTCACGACCGTTAGCTAGCCCCGATCTCTGATAGAAAGGGGTCAAGGTGCTGCTGCACACATGCGCTGACAGCTGCTTATTTTACCAGCCCTAATAATCAAGTCATTGTCGGTGGCTCCCATCAGTAGCCACCAGTTGCGAAGGGAACACAGAGTCCGCTAAAACACTGTAAACTCGGTTTATTATTACCTGTAATGCTAGCTTGTTAGCTCATCAGAAACTAAGGCGCCCTAGCAGACATCGTCTCACGCCATAAATATGTGGTATTCAAACTGACTCTGTCTCTTTAAGGCCACCACCTCCCAGCGTAAACGATCTATAAAGATATAACACTTTAATTATTATTTGTTGGTTTGCTTGCTGCTACGGCACCGAGGCCCTACGCCAACGCCTCTCGTACCCTCGCAGTGGGTAACAGCAGAGGCTCGGCTGCCTGGTGAATGCACGGTCCCCATCTCTTTAATTCTTTCTCCCTGCTGGCCATCTTCCCCATTGCTCCTTCGCCATAACAACCACCGCCGACTCTCTCACCTCAGCCCCGTGTCCCCCCTCTGGTCCCTCTCGTCGCTGCTGCCGACTCTCGGTTCTCTCACTCCAAAATGGCGGTTTGGGGCACCGAGCGAGTCTGTGAGCTTTGAGTCGGCAGCAGCAGCAGAGAGGCGGCCACTTTCTGTTACTGAGAGAGCAGAGATACGACGCCATGGCCAGGTTACAGCAACGAGCAGGCGTATTAATCAATTCCAGATGGAAAGAATCGATTCAACTGGCATCTTTAAGGCGACACAACCAACAAGAATTGTGATAATATTTATATATTGGTAAAAAATATAATACTGAGTTCACATATTACTCCTCGGCTCGCATAAATAGGAACAATACAGATACAACGATGAATTCCCGATTTCGATTGATAGAGTCTGCCTTTTACGAAGATTACCGAACTACGTTTTACGTCATCAAAAGGGAACTCCGTTTTTGGTAAAGTGAGGCAGCCACAATGTTCAAGGAGTTTATTACAAGAATTTCTTGGAAGAAGTTAAACTTAAACTCACATCTGTTTATTCGTCTGACATAATGTTTACTATTTTATTCTATAATATTTTACACCTTTAACACATTTGTAATAAAGTAAATGCCCTGAATGATTATTTTGATTTCACCAACTGCGTTTGTTGCCAGGAAACACTCACATAATTATTATATTGTTGAGACAATATTGGTTGACTGGATGCATGTTTGTCTATAAATTCCCTAAATAATTTTTTTTCAGATCTTAAGTTTAAATACAGACAGGACAGTGGCGCTGAACTAAATAATTACGTTATGCAAAAAAGCTGTAACTGTGCATTACAGTTCAATAATTTCAAGAACATATCTGAGGTGAAAACAATAATGAAAATAAATGTTCAAAACAGACATATTTTTTTAGATAAAGACCAGAAATAATATAAGTTAACATTACCCAAATTTAGACCATCATTTAAAATGAGACTAAAGTTATCTACTACTAGGTGGATACTTTTTTATGTGGTGTAGAAATGCTACAACTGTTTAAAAGGATTTTAAATATCTCCCGAATTACACTAGTTGGATATTTTTTTTACAAAAACAAGCTGGAAACACGCGATACTGTAATGTTTAAAAGCAGAATACAAATTAACTGGATGTCTCAGACAGTGGTGGACGAAGTACTCAACAGTAGTACTTGAGTAAAAGTATTGATACTCATAGTTAATTCTTAAACAAGTACAAGTAAAGGTTACTTGGTCAAACATCTACTGAAGTTAAAGTATTGAAGTACTCACTTTTGAAAATAACTATTCAAAATACATGTTTTTTAAAAGTACTGAAGTATTCAAAAATAAAAATAAAATGTTCTAATATCAGTAAATTTCTGCAAAATTTTCCCAGTAATTTTAAAAGAACCTTGTAACTTTCAGAAACCACTTGATGTATTAACCCGTAGAACCAATCTGCTACCAATTCTACACCATTTGTAAAGAACTTCAGCATCAAAATACCACAAATATATAAGGACAGCTATTTCGATTATTATTTCTTATTCAAAAACACATCAAAAATAAAAAAAAAATGTGTGTCTTGATTCTCATCATCCATTCACTATGGAAAAGAGGTTTAGTTTTGAATCTATTACCACAAAGAAACTACAACTCTGATGTGAGAACTCACATTACTGAACAAACTTGGTCACCTGGCAAAAACTCACGCCTTAATAGATTCTATTAACTATGGATATCTGCATGAGTTTCCCAAATTTGCGGAATTTCACACAAATCTCTAAAAGAGTGGTGTCCAAATTTAGTCCAAAGGGCTGCTATCTGTTATGTTGAAATGCATTTCAAGAAAAAAAAAACAGCAACAGTGGTTTTTCAAAGCTAAGCTGAGCCAAAGGGAACAAGCAACTAGCAGCTTCCTCTAAATATAGTGGACTGAAAGTTATTAGTATCCCCAAAAAGGTACTCAAGTAAAGATACTCAATAAAAGTACAGTAATCAAGTAAATGTACTTCGTTTTTTTCCCACCACTGGTCTTGGAGAAGTGATATAATTAAGTAGAGTTCGTTATAAATATATAACTAAAATATTATGACTTTAAAAAAAAAAAAAATTGGATCCAAATATAAAAGAAAAAACACCTTTAAATACAATTAATCTGCACAATTTTTTTTTAAACTAATGAACAACTAATCTTTGCACTATTAACTTACGGTGTTTTTTCCTCAAATACTACTAGATATTTGAATGAACCCAATTCAAATGCCATCACACCCATAACCTAGCACTTGCTTGATTTCTACCTTATTTTACTTGTCATTAGGCTGTTCTTAAACATCTCCAAAATTTGCCTTCTTAAGTCTTTAATGTGTATCAATTCCGCTATGTAATCGCATCTCTAAAATTACTCTGTTTAATATTTTTAAACAGATTTTTTTACCATATAAAACAAAAGAACAATACAATTCCCCAAAAAAGGCTTTAACATGAAGTAGTTGTTTATTTTCCAGACATTTAATAGTAAATGAAAACAGACCAGAGAGACAAAACACACAAATGAATGTGGATGTTATGGTATCAAGTGGCAAATAATCAACTAAGTTCAAACTGGTATTGTGTGGTGACAGTCACAGCTATTATCAGACATGTATGTTAATTATGTACTGCAAATATTTCATATTAAACTGTCTTGAATAACACAGTCTGTTCATGACAGTTGCTCATTAAATACTTCTGTACAAAGTGCAAAGGTTTTCCATCAGGTTCACAAACTGACAGCAAAATAAGGATTCTGTGCATCAGAATAGGCACTACCAACAGGCAAGAATCTGTTTTTATTGGCTTCCTTGTTCTTAAAACAGACATAAAAATGCAATTTGTTTTGATGTTACCATACCAGTGTCTTCACAGCCAGCTGGATTTGTCTTGTTCAAATTTCTGTGGATCAATGAAAGGCTTGTCGATAGATTTGATCATCAGTTCGCCACAGTATGCGCACTCCGACGCAACAATGTCATCGATGTCGGATACTATCTGCTCACGACTCGTTGCCCCCATGCCCTTTCCCAGACTGGCTGTGTCCCCCTCCTCCTTGGGTGCCGGGCGGTTGCGGGATTTAGTAGAAGGTGTTGTAGCAGCCAGCTTTTTCTGGAGCTCTTCCAGGCGATTCTGCTTAAAGGCTGACAGGTGAGGGGTCACTTCCTTCATGGAAGAAAAACAATATAATCACAATGAGAAAATCTATCGAGCCATGGCTGCTTAAGAATTGTAATTTACTAAAATTACTACAGAAATATTTGAGTTCGGCTCATAAAGCCTTTTTGCTACAGGATTATTATATCTAGGAAAAGCAGGAAGTTTTGAAAAGCTCTCTACCTGAAACAGGCAGTCGTTATGGAACATGTGACCACACAGAAACAAATAGAAGGGCCTGTTGAGTAACGGGAAGTCACACGCCGCACACTTTTCTTGGGAATCCACAACACCATACTTATTCCTCATTTCCTGGATGTCTTCCCTGATTCGTTTAGCGCTCTCTGTTGCCTCCTCCATTTCCTGCTTTAGCTCCTCAATGTGCTTGTTGTACTCCTCCAGGGAACTGCAGATTGCCTCCTGAAATAAAGAAAATATATTCAATTTTGTGATTTATTTTTTTGTTTGTAAAGACCATAAACAGGATGCCTGAATACACTCTGCTCTGTTTGCAAGTCTCACCCTAAACAGGCTGGCAGTTTTTCTAAATAGCTTTCTTGTTCACAGTATATAAAGGAAGGATTACAGGCTTTGAATTTTGTTACTATATTGATATACTTTTTTTCACTCTTTGCAATGATATAAGCATTAAAAAACAGATCCTGTTTAGTTGTATTACACGTCTGTTTCCCAGTCTTTACAATAATGTTACTAGGAACCTGAAACTAATGGCTGCTTTAGGGCTCGCAAACAGCAGCGGAAACACAAACCCTTAAAGCCACACCGCAGACTTAGTGACCTAAAGAGTTGACACATTTGAGGTATTTTAAATGGTTCCTCAAGCCAACATACAGTGCTTGATACTATCAAGTGGTGCTACCCTCTTGAAATACTGTGAGAAGATGCACCGTCGTTGGCCAGGTCATGTGACCTGGAAGAACATATCTCTTTATGGCCGCAGGCTGTTATATAGTCATAGAGCTAAGGCTTTTGCTCTACTATTTTCCCACCTGCTCAACTACTGGTCATGACTGAGGAAAGGAAAAAGTTGAAAACTCCTAAGGAGATTAAAAAGAGAAAACGTGAAAGGGATCGTGCCTAAGGAAAAAAACAAGAGTATATCTTGGAAAATAATTACGGTAGTTTGTCGGCGCAGGCTGAAAAAAAGAAGCCAGATGTAAAACTGATTCTCTTTTCTCAACGTCATTTTTAGACTGGTAGGCAAACACTTTGCTCCTAGAATGCACTCATATATGTCTGTTATTATTTTCCATGTTTAGTAGAAACAAAATACGGGCAGTTAAGGGTCTAGTGCCCCTTGTGGCCAAAAGTTACACGGCGTGCCTTCAAATGCCTGGATGCTCGAGTCAAATGGCTGTTTATGAGTAAGAAAACTAAGTTTTCTTTAGACACTGGAAATACATTAAAATGTATTAAGGCCAAAAAAACAATAATCACATTAATCGTGTTGATTAATATGAAGTTGAGTTAAGTAGGGGATATTTACCCAAATGTAGTCATGTAATGCTTATGAAATATAGCAAGTTATTTTACACATTACGTGTTTGCTTAAAAAAAAAAAAACATTTCTTCAGCTTCAAATAAAAAAAAATATACATCTAGCGTTTATCCTGATATCCAGAAGTGGCAAAAATTATTGTGTGTCGTCTCTACATGTTCATAGCTAATATTTGACCAAAATTGGAAATTTAAACAGTGAAGAATATTGTACGTATTGTATAAGCTTTTCTGTAGCTATAACCAAGAGCCTAAGAATACCAAGGCTATGGCCAGTATCAGTAAGGCCGTCCACTAATGCATCCATTAACTTGGCAAAGAAATCAGAGCACTACTTCTGTCTTTGCATCAAATTTTTTTTTTAACACCACATTTCGACTTTTTCTCTTTTGTTTGCACTTTCTGTGCTTTTACACATTGCATACTCGCTTCCCTTCATTGCCTCTTTATGGCTTCCTTGTTTACACATTGTGCAATACTGTATCTCTAGTCACCTCGTCTCAAGGTAAATATAGAGAGAGCTCTGTGCTTACAATCAAATATGCAGCAAAAACCAAGTACAGAATACTTAAGCAAACGCAATCATTTAATGGGAGAACATTTGTAAGCTGGTGTAAAAATATGTAGTCATAGTGATTAACTAGGCCCCTTTAAATGTGTGTTTTTAAAGAAGTAATTGACAGAAACTCAACGTACGCAAATGGCTTTTCTAAAGCTACTTAGATCGATATTGAGGTTCAAACCTCCATTCATAAAATTGTGAATTAATCCAACTAGTTACGGCAAACAGAAATGGCAATCATGATGCAAACCTTAAAGTGGTCAATGGTGACAAAATCTGGAAAGAAAGGCAGAATGTCTTCAATCTTGAGCAGGTTGCAGCTGGACAGACAGTTCATGGCTTTCTTCACATCCTTCTCCTCCTGCACCACATGCCTGGCGATCTTCAGCCAAAGCTTTTTCCTCATCTCCTCGTCATCCTCAGGCAGATCTGCACAGGACTTGGCCAAATCTACGTCCACCTAGGGAGAAGAGAAACCCTTTCTAAAAAACTAATTTTAAAAGCACGTGAAGAAACAGCACATGCTGAACTAGAAAGTACTTACTTGTAAAGCTAGATCCACTGCCTCCTCGTGCAGCTCCATGATTCTATAAACCAACACGCAGGCCTGAAGGAAGCCATGCTCAGCACACAGTCTGAGGGCATACTTTAGATCATAGTAGATCTCTTTGGGGTGAGTACCTGCCTGTTTTAGATACTGCAACAGAGAGTCGGGCTTGTACTTTGCGTAAAGGGACAGCAGATAGTTATGAATGGCCTCCTCGGTCACGTTTAGCTCATAAACACAGAACTCCATGTAGCGGATGGTCTCGTTGATCTGCTGGGTGCTGCCCATCTGGCTGTAGTTCATCAGGGCAGGGATGAGCTTCTTTGGGTCCAGCCTATTGCCCATCTGAATCCATGCGTCCACCACGTTCTTGGGAATGTGCTGCATGAGGACAGGCGAGAATTTGTAGAAGAGCTTTTCGTCGCAGTGCTTGGGGAGCACATCAAGGGTTGCGCTGAAGTTGTCATGCTGACAGTGGTGGGATATGACTCTCTCGTAGTCCTGCATGACGACTGAGAAGTAAACCATGTCGTCCACGTTGCCGTGGCTGGCCAGCAGGTCGTAAATGGTGCTGCGGTTGTTGAACAGGCATTCTCTGTGCTTCGCGCTGCTTAAAAACTGGCGGAACTCTTCTCGGGTTTCCTGGAAGATGAGGATGTTGCCGTCGCTCTCCAGCTGCCCCAGGCGGTTCAGGTAGAGTTCTGTTAGCCATGTCACCAGCAAGGTGATCTGCGTTCTCTCAGTCTGTTTTAGATTGTTCAGCTTCTTCAGTAAGAACTCCTTCAGTGCCTCTTCTTGCTTGGCTTCGATGAACTTGAGCGCTATCTCTTCAAAGTAGTTCTGTGTCATTGCATAGCACTTGGCGCTTTCCAGGTATCTCTTATTCTGGAAGCAGTACTCAGCCTCCTTAGCTAGCACCATATCCATGCACTCTGGCCGATCGCGGCAGTACTCCTTGGCCAGATCAAACTTGTTCATGCTCATGTACATCTGCCAGACATCCCTGGCCTCGCGTTGGATGTGGTATCGGAAAACTGCCCGCTCTGTGTAGATCCACACCAATCCTCCGATGGGATCTTTGATCATCCTCTTTAGGGGGCCAAATTTATCTGGAAACACATCCTCGTACACCACTGCTCCATTCAGGGTGCAGATTGCTTTTATTCGGTCATGAAGCAGCAGCAAGAAGTGGAACTGTGTCAGCACGATGGAAATGGGTTTGTTCTGGATAATGTCGACATCTGGCGTGTACTCCCACACCTGATTATGCCAATAAAAACATATGAGCAAAGGATTTGTTGAAAAGAAATGCGAGAATGAGTGAAGTTAATCTTACCTGGACATCACTCAGCAGGGAATCAGGCCTAACGTAGTCCAGCTGACCGTACAGAACGCCATTACCCATCATCCAGGCAAACGCTTTAGGGAAGTTCCTAAGTTTTGCTGTGTAGAATGTAATCTCGCTGTATCCCATGTTGGCTGGGAACTCCTGGAAACTGGGCAGCAGGTCCTGGTTCTGATTGAAAATGGTGCTGAAGCCTTGCTGCTCCGACCCTTCGGCCACCTTACCCACAAACTGGAACAGGCGCTTGCGGGTGGTGGCGATGATGAAGTATTTGTTTTCTGGGCCTCGCTCAATCTCCAAGCAGCAGACTGGTGCAGGCCTGCCATCCTCCTCCAGGGAATGGACCTAACGCAACAAAAATAATCTACGATTCAGAATCAGAAATACTTTAATAATCCCAGAGGGAAATTACTTTTGTTACACGCTCCAGTTACAGTTTTATTTAATATATACACACATCCAACTATACAATGTAATAAAGATAAAAAAATAAGATAATTCTTCACAGAGTCACTGTGAAAAAATAAGAGCAATCAAAAAAAGATAAAAATAAGAAAATTAAAAACGTAACTGGAGCAGTGTAACTGCAGCATGCTGCTTTCGCGCATGATTCAGTCACATATTTATTCATTTTTTGTGTAGAACAAAAACAGAAACTTGAAACCAAATCGGACCTGTCTGAAGTACTGATCTGGGTTGGTGTTAAACAGGCTGCCCTCATTTGCAGAAATCTCTGCCTCAAAAATAACCCCTTGGCTGGTGCCGACCAGGATGGGCCCTGTGCTGGTCTCGTTGCCAAGCAGCTTGTTCCAGCCCACACTCTCGATGAGGTGGCCTCTCCATCGGGACAGACTGCGCACCTTCTGGGTGTTTCTGTTGAGGTACAGGCATTCGTTGGTGCTCAGGCTGATCAGCAGATGGGAGCCTGTGGAGGGAAAACACAGCTTCTAATAACCAGAGAACTGTCTGATTATTTAGACATATTAAGGTAAGAAGTTTCAGGGATTTAAATAAATGGTATAAATTACAGACACTTTAAAGATATGCTTTACAATAATTTAAAAACGTTAGTTAGATATACTGAGCAGCAAGAAGCAGCATGGGATATGACATAATGTTGGTGTTGTGTAATGTAAATCCCTTTATTGTCCCACAATAATACATAACAATAATCATTTCCATTATTGCTTTCATTAAAAGCAGCCAAATGGTCACAGATGATCTATCCAGGGACAGGTCAACACATTATTTCTATCTTTACAAGATGACTTTATAGACAAAGATGCATCTGGCTAACGAGGAAAAATATGCTGCAGTTTCTTAAAGTTTTAGTTCAAGACTTAGCAGTTCTAATACATAAATATGATTGGATCTAAACTGTTTCAGTGCTCCCGAAGGAGCTTCTGAGATCTTTAATAAGAAAAGCCCCAATTTAACAGTCTTCTAAAATCAATCAGTTGCACTAAAATTTATTAAGTAATCAGAATAATAGGAGAATATACATGCATAACTTATTTTGTAATATTTGCAAACCCTGTATTCTGCTATTCCACATTCGAATTATGCTTTAGTCTGAGATGATCTTCCACATAATGTCTATCTGGGTGAAGTTTGTGGTTTAAAAGAAGAAATTTTGAAATTGTTTACAGGCTCTGAGTACTTTAGTAAGGTATTTGAAGAAAGCAGAAACAAGCTGTCAGATGATAACTTTTATCTAATTCTTCTATAGATTTCTACAGCATCTTACCTGTCGGGTCCAAGAACAGCTTGTGCACTTTGCTGTCATCTTTCCTCCCTAATTCAGTTTGATTGGGCTGATCTGGTTTTGCCAAGTCAATCCTGGATAAACACAAAAAAAGCATTTCTGTCAAAAAAACATGATTAATCACAAGGGAAAATATGCATTTGTTTAATAAATATAGGAGGGATTATTTGCCTTAACAAAGTATCCTTTCCCAGACTCATACAGAGCTGGTTGTTGCAGACTACCAAGTGATTGATCCTCTCAGGAGGAGTGAAGTCAATCCTCTGCTTGTTGAATATCGGCTTTTCTTCCTCCAGCCTCACATTTACGAAACCTTTGATGGAAGAAAGGAGCAGCGTTTTAATATCAACGATCGAGTGGTTAGTTGTTCCTCTTTAGCTAGTGACAGGATGGAGACCTACCTGAATGCGTTAGCCCGATGTTAGCAGAGGTTAGGCGGCTGTGCTGCTGAGAACTTTGCCTGAAGTTCTGGGAGTCCTCATACTCATCAAGAATAGAAGCCATATCAAAATGACCAGAGAGGACTTATTTTACGACCTGCAAATGATTAACCCAGATAGTACACAGCAGCTGTTAGCAAACAGTTAGCTAGCCAAGATAGTCCACAGCAGCTGTTAGCTAGCTAGCTAGCTAGCTAGCTATAACAGCTTGCACAATTGGATGTTTAATTTACCTTTATTCTCTCTCAAATTGCATCTAAATAGAAAAAAAAGAACCGCACGTTGGGTTGTAAAGTTTCTACGTAGCGCTTAAAGGCCTCGGGTACATAGGTTTTAATACTAAGTGAAAAAATAACATTCATATAGCTTCCGAGTCTGCAAAACTGGGCGAACCGTCAGTCAGATGATCCCGAAGTCACGTGATCATTGTAGGTGTAATACATGTGTATAATCAGAAGAGGGCGCAATACGTCTAGAGTAGCATAGTTTGTTTCTGTTCAGGGATAGTGGAAGTGTTTTCTGTTGAATAAATTAAACTAGTGATCAGTTTGAGGACTGGTTTGCAAACACTTGTAGAGATGTGTGCTGGACACAAAATTGGGAGAAATTAAAGAAAAAGAAGAAAGGGAAAAAAAGGAGAATGGAAAATGTTTCGCATTTAGACAAAATAGATTCAGAGCGCCTTTTAAGAGCAATACACACCAGTTTTCTAAATGGATATAGGCTTTAACTGGGCCATTTTAACTAATCCAAGCACTTTGATCTCACTCATTCTATAGGACCTCTGGATGGGTATTTAAAGTTGTTTTCCAGAGAAAGGTGAACCTTTATCCCAGTCTCAATGTTTTTGCATCCCTAAAGAGACTTTCTTGCTAGTTCCATCAATCCCCCATTAACTCTGATAAGCCTGCATATCTGAAGCCCACCCCCCACAGCATGATACCACCACTACTATGTGTGACCATCGCCACAGTCTATTCAAAGGGATGTGTATTAGTTTTTCACAACAGGTTTTCCCCTACATCCAGGATGTAGGGGAAAAAGTTCATTTCATGTTCATTTTCACTTTGTTCTTCAGCTATACTCAGTTGACTTCAAAGCTTTCCCTTTGTCTTTAAATTTCCCTCCAACTAGTGCTTCTAGGTGATAAATATGCGGTTAATGTTATCTTATAATTTAAGATGGTTTTTATTGTTTATTAGGTGCGTACTGGAAGTATTTGGTTTTGATGGATTTTATTCATCATATTTTCCATACACAAAAAATATATATGTCCATTGTATACTGTGTATACTAATGTATATTGTTTTTCAATTGTTGTCTTGAAATATGTTTTGAACCATATATGGTTTCAACATGTTGAGTTTTAATATTTTTCATGGAATAGCAATTGATGTTTATCATATATTTCAAAATATGTGTTCAAATATTTAGTTATATTTTATCACTTTACTTATTTATGTTCTGGCTTGCTACTTTAGACCATCCATCTTCTGTTTATTCAGGGTCGGGTCGCAGGGATAGCAGCTTTAGTAGGGAGGCCCAGACATCCTTCTTCCCAGCCTCTTGGGCCAGCTCCTCCGGGGGAATCCCAAGGCGATCCAAGGCCAGCCAAGAAACATAGTCTCTCCAGAGTATCCTGGGTCTCCCCCTGGACCTCTTCCTGTCAAAATGAAGTATACATACAAAAATAAAGGATGGTTCAAAATCATTGGGCCAAAAACCAGCTTAAAAGATAAATCTTCCATTGATTGCAAAATAATAGTAATATATAGCCTCAATAATATATATATATAGCAATATATAGCAATATATAGCAATACCTAGTGACTGCAACATCAGGAAAAAAAGATGAAAAACTAGAGAAATACCATGGGTTCAGAGAAGAGCTGGGGGAAACCTGGAAGGTCAGGGCATCAGTGGTACTCGTGGTCATTGGGGCACTCAGGGCAGAGACCCCCCAAACTGGGGGAGTGGTTACAGCAGATCACTGGAAATACATTAGACATCTCGGTCCAGAAGAGTGCAGTTCTAGGAACAGCAAAGATACTGTGCAGAACCCTCAAGCTCCCAGGCCTCTAGAAGACCTGAGCTTGGATGAAAAAGGGTGGAAGACCACCAGCGATGGTCGGCTACGGAAGAGGATTAGGGCCACTGAAAAAAATAAAAAAAGTTAACTGATTTTTAAATTTTATTTCAGTTTAATATGGGAAAAAAGTCAGAATTCTGAGAAAAAAGTCAGAATTCTGAAATTACAGTCAAAATTCTGACTTTTCTACTATATTAATTATATATAAATATCTTAATTTGCATTGGTCTTTTGTTGTTTTTGGCATTATATTCCTGTAAAATACCCTGTAAGTTTAATTGTGAAAAATGTAGAAAAGGTTTCCCTGTTTGGATCTGCAGACTATGAAAATTCACAGTGGGATTATAATCCGGATTTTGAAATGTGAGTTTTGTTAATTCTCTCCATCTTAAATGACTCTCATCTTCGTGGGAGGGTCCATGCAAATCAAAACCTGTCGGGGCACACCGGCCCCTCCCACACATGTTGCTGAACATCCTGCAGAAGTAGCCGCGTCCCTTCAGTCACAACAGTAATGCGCGACAGTCTCACCGTCCTCTGCTCTCCGCAGCGACTCTCTGATTTCTAAGCAGCCAGTAGGCACTGCGAGGGGAAGACTCAGCGTCCCGAACTTTAACGCTCACCTCGACATGCCACCCAACATGGATTACTTTTACCACGAGTCCCGAGTCCCTTCAGCCTGCGGGTTCACCCGGGAGGATGAGCTGGACCCCGATGTGATCAGCTGCATGCTGGTTGGAGACGGAGCTGTGGGGAAGACCAGCATGATCATCAGCTACATCTCCAATGGATACCCGGCCGAGTACCAGCAGACAGGCTTTGATGTTTTCTCAGGTGAGCTTCTTTTTAGGAGCTTATTGTGTTTATTATCATTAACCTCGATTGAACTAATTAAATAATCTGCTAAACAGGTCAGGTCCAAGTGGAAGGATCTCCTGTAAGGATTCAACTTCTGGACACAGCTGGACAGGTAAACAGCAGTGTGACTATACAACATTTTATACATTTAATCAATTATTTCTTAAGCAACAGTGGCGGTTCTGGACTAAATGTACCAGGGGTCAGCGTGTTTTCATGGGGGCCCAGAAAAGCATGAAATAAAAAACAGGGCAAGGAATTGAAATATATTAAAATAGCTGCATGAAGTGAAATATCTATTCAGTTAGGACTAACTAAAATTCTATGTCTTATTAGTTCAATATACACTCATAATTTAGAAATGTTACATATTTTTGACCTAATTTGAGTTAAAATTAACGTTTTCTATAAAATCTGAATAGAACTCAAGAAAAACTGACAAATTTAGCTGTAAAAATTAGAGCAATTTGTTTTGAAAAAAAAATTAGCAGATGAAAACGAGGATCCTATCTCAATTTCACTTAAGCTATCACCTTATTGTTTTTAGACAATTAGTAAAACAGAATCTGTGAAGAGATGAAATAGACCCAAAAGAACTATCAGTAAGCAATCATAATTAGAATTTCTTTGGAGTATTATGTCTTCAGTACAGGGGCCAGGACATGATCTACAGGGGCACTGGCCCCTGTTGGCCCCAGTCTAGAACCGCCCATGTTAAGCGATATAAATAACTAGTTAAAAAAATGCAAGAATATAGGCTTTTATTGTGATTTAACCAGAGTCTGAGCTGCCTACAGGCCTTCAAACCAAGTCTACCCCTAAAAGGAGCAGAAATGCAGCAATAGTTTAATTTACATCATGTGTTCAAATTATTTGTTATCCTTGTTTTTTTTTTTTTGCAGAAGATATGTTTTGGTTAAGGTGGAAAGAAACAAAATAGCCCAAAGGCAAGAGGAGGATTTCCTTTCCTCATGCTTCTATCGCTTTTTCCTTTTTAATGTAATCTTTCAGTCAGAAAGACCTTCATCAGAACATCCCTTTAATATAATTAAAGAAAATGTATTACACTTATAATTAAAAGCTTTTTTTTTTTAAGTTATTGCACCACTTAATCTAACAGGGATCAAGGAGGAACTGTTGGTTTCTTGGATAAACATCTGACCACTATCAATAGAAAATATGTTGATAAAAAGAACTATTTTGTCTCTGAACTCTGATTCAGAAACATACAGAAAGTGGGATGTATAGGCAGAGGAAAGGTTTTAGTCTCTCAACCTCTAGCAGCCAAACTTTGGCCGAAAGACCTATTTTTTAAGGTTAAAAGTTAAGAAAACTTTAGGTTACAGTTTCAGTTCAGCCTTTTTCCCTAATCCTTAGGTAGAAAGAAAATATTAAATTATACTTAAAGATATCGAGTGACACAAAGATTTATTTCATGATCAATTTTTTCAGCCAGTACCTCTAATTCTTTTAAGAGAAGTTTATTTCATATTCCATCTTTCCATCTGTTGTAATCACCTAAGCTGCAGAGGTAATGGGAGAATATTTATATGTATATTAGGTGCAATGCACAAGCATATTCTGATGTTTTTAAACATGCAGACAGTGTTATAGCATATGTCATTGAAAGTGAATATGATTCAAGTTACATTTACTTTCTAGTCTAAGTAATAATATTGGTTTAAAGCAATATAGTTTTAGGTTTAAAAAGTATGAATATTTTTCTTAGTCTGTGTTAGTATTTTAAGGTGTGATATATGAAAGCAGGAACTGTTAATCCAGATTATGACTCAGTGAAAAAAAAAAAGTTTCTGCATGACTGTTAATCTTTCCTGCACACATCCAGTGAGTCAGTGAGAGCAGCCAGTTTCTCCGTTGTGTTTGGACATCTTGAATGAAACTTAAACTATTGTTTATCTTTTTTTTTTTTTCAAACAGGAAGAGTTTGATGAACTCAGAGCTTTGTCCTACGCCCACGCTGACGTCTTTCTCCTGTGCTTCAGTATGGTCAATCCCGACTCCTTCCACAACATCACCAAGAAGTGGATACCGGAGATCCGGGCCCACAACGCCACCTCGCCTATCATCCTTGTTGGTACACAGCTGGACCGCCTCTTGGATGTGAACGTCCTCATCAACCTGGATAAATGCAAGGTCAAGCCCGTACTGAGTTCTAGGGCCCGGAGCATGGCGGACAAGATCAGGGCCACAGACTACATAGAGTGCTCGTCACTGACGCAGAAGAACTTGAAGGAGGCGTTTGATACGGCCATTTTCGCTGCCATAAAGAACAAAACCCGCAAGGGGAAGAAAAGGAGGTTTTCAGAGAGACGCACCAAGGCTTTCTCAAGGTGCAGCTGGAAGAAGTTCTTCTGCTTCGTTTGAACTGTTTCTCATTTATTTTTAAATATTTCTTTTATTTATTTAGATGGCATATATCACCTTTCTATTCACCTTTGAGATCTATGCCATCACTTCTTATCAGAAAATGTGATTTATCAGTGCCAAATACGGGGAGATGAACAGCTCTAGAAGCTAAAACCAAGAGGACATAGGGACATCCCTGGCCTGTGATTGATTTCACGCTATTCCAGACTGTTGCATATTTACATTTATAAAAGTTTGCACATGCTGCTTTTGTGTATCCACCAACTTGTGTGGCACGTGAGAGAAAAGTACATTTAGTTGAGGCTTTGTGGGACGGAGCTGCAGAGAGAACCACCAGGCCAGTATGTAAAAAAAGCAAAACAGGGGATTTGCATGATGTGCTTTACCACTGGCTGCAAAACGAAAGTGTTTGGACTGTGTGTCCTGGCAGATGGGCGTTGTTTTCTCACTTTTCTTACAGCAGCGACTAACTTATATGCAGCTGCTGCAATTAGGTTCTGCATTGTTACCTGCTTGTAAAAGGTTCCCAGGCTGGTTTGGCCGGGCTGTTTTGTTTTCCTTCTGAAAGCTGACGGGCATTTTGATTTAGCTCCAATTTTTTATGTTGCAAAACAGGAGCTTTGTTTTTTATATTGGAAAAAGAAACTTAATACTCCTGCCCTAATCTTTTAGCCAAGATGAGATGTTTTAAGTTTCAGGAGAGCAGAAACCTTTGGCGTTCTGTCTCAGTAATCTGCATCTGTAAAAGCAAAGCACTGCAGGGGTCTCTTGAGTCCTGCAGGAATCCTCCCTCTTTGTTTATTTGTTAAGTACGCTCCTGACCTGTGAAGCCCAGTGAGTACAGGCAGAAAAGAAGCTCAAAAGCCTCAATCCAAATGTGACTTTTAGAGAATATGCCTTTTAAAACAGCCTTTTGGAAAGTTTTGCACTCCAGTGTTATAATATGTGGTACATATGAGATTGTATATATAATTATGGGCTTTACTTCTTGTAGAAGTGTGCTTGAAGTTTCTGTTTATTTTAAACAGATATGAGGCCACATTTATTGACATCCCTTGGTAAAAGTGTGTAACACCTTTAAATGAATTATCCTTGTCCTGCATGTTGCATAAAATCGAACACACAATAGTTTTTTGCTCAGTTCCCTTATTGCGGGTCCAGTTATTGTTTGTCACAGTTCCAGCAGTTTGACAGTTTTTAATTAACATCCTAACTGTTGATATAGGCAGGTGTAAACTTGTATTTTATTTTTTTTCTGCAGCCATTTCCTGATTTAGGAAGGTCAATATACTTTCTCTGAATGGTATCTTCTTCTCTCTTTGCCATTTTGAAGGACGGTTAAGAGAAATCTCTAGCTGACATTGAATTTGAAATCCCAAATTTTTTAATTAGTCATTTCATTCTTTGAGCAGTAAATATGTAAAAAAAAAAAAAAGAAAAAAAACATAACTCATTTATAATTAAAGGAAATAAAAGTGGTGACTGGTGATTTTGTAAAACAATTTAAAATTCCCTGCTAAAAAAAAACCCAAAAACATTAAGTTATCACTCATTTTTTTTGGCTGTTGTCCCAACATTTCTTCTCTTAAGTCGTCCTTGTTGTTTTTATTAAATGGTTTATTAAGCCTTTAAATTCAGAAATTATTAAATTAACAGACTCTTCATGGCAGAGAGGAGATACCAGTTTGTGAGAAAAATAGTGTGAGAATATGCAACTGCAATAAACAAAATAAATGTATTTTTTAGGGTTTTTATACATCTTTATCGAGGGGTGTTCTGATTATGTGGTGCACTTTATGTTAGATTTTAAAAGCAAAAATGATTATTTGTTTCCTTTTTTACATCCCTGTCATCTCAGTCCTTCTGTTCCCTTCTTTAAATGCAGAGTGGGGTGATTGAAACAATAAACAAAGAGCTTTTTACACTGAATCTCTGTGCTATTGGTGTTGTCGATTCGTTCAACAGCAATACTTAGGTAGATATTATCACATTTGATAGAAAGACAGTTGAAAATACATGAGTCTCTTTACTCTATAGGTTTTATGAAACTTTATCGTTACCTTAATCCCTTTAGTTTTGCCTTTTTAACACATATTTCCTAAAGGCAGAGTGGGCTTATAAGATGAGATGAGCTATACTTCCACCTTTAAATGTAGATAACATTTTAACCACCTTTATGTCCAGTTTAAAGAGAAAAGGTATAATACATTTAGTTTGACTGTTTTTTTTTGTGTTTTTTTTTTTGGGTTATCACTTTGAACAATTTTCTTTACTCCTAACACTTCACCTGCAAATGAGGTCAGTCTTTTTGTTTGTTTATAAACCAGTTTATCATTATTAAATATTCCATTTCTTAGTCCTTATGTACCTTTGAAACCATCTTTTGCGGTCCGAAGATAAATAACTTCTGACTGGTTTTACCCATATGATGGGTTTTGTTAGGGTTGGGTTACTGATTCAAATGGATGGAGACAATGAAGATTTAAGTATTAGTTTAAGTTTTAGTAATTAAGAATAAACATATTCACTGTTTTTCTATTAGGAGAATGTGAAGACTTGTAAAACAACAGAGTGCTTTTGTGTGAGAGGTGAGGCTGAAACTAGGATTAAGGGGTCTATTATGGTCATTAATTGTTCATCTCCTCTGACGTAGGGTGAGAAAGACAGAGTTGAAAGGGTCATTAAACGCTTGGAAGACGTGACAGCTGTGCACCACGTTTGTCCAGAGGAGGATAGATGAGTCACAAACAAGACGGGGGATAAATAACACAAGCTTTGCCTGGTACAACGGCCGCCTGTTTGCCATTAGTGAGTGTGCCCTCTGTCATGCGCCTGTGTGTCAGGGCTCTGTTTGAACTTCTGCTGTTCCAGGGTTAAAACGGGACATCCTGGTTCTGACCCTGTCAGCGAAGGTCACACACAGGAGCTGAAGCTCGGTCAGCTGACACTGTGTCACAAGGGGAGCAGTGAACTTTGAGTTGACACTCAGGGATCAGATGCTGATAAAGAGCAATGACCATGTCTTTAAGTGAGGTACTGGAAAGTGCACCAATAAAAATATATCTGATTGCTTTATTTTTTTTTAGCTACATGTACTAATAAATGATTTCCCAGTACGTGAAGATGTTTTTTTTTTTTGTTTTTTTTTGTCAGCAGTGGAACATCCAGCAGACCAAGTTGGTCTTCGATGAAAAGGGGCACCATTAGCTCATCAATCGTGTTGTCAAGCCTCAGGAGGTGCTGGGACGTCTTTGACTGCCGCTGAAGTATTTTTAGACCAGATGAGTTTTTTTGGTCATGCTAATTTCTTGGAATTACTCCCCTTTCTTCACGCACTGGTCATTGATTTCTGAACCAAGCCCAGGCAGGCTCTGCTTCTCGTTTTCCTGAATACAGATCAATATTTTTTTGGGAAATGACAGCAAACTGTCAATGCTTGATAAAAATGCTTTAAGGTTTTTGCTGTTTTTGAAATATTGGGGCAGGCTGTTTAGAAGAGAATCAGATATAATATATGAATGTACTGATCAAAATGGTGTTTGTAAGGGCTTGTGGTATTTGGTTAGAGTATAAAACCTAAAACAGAGGTGTTGCAAAATAGAAAATCTGGTACCCTCTATTTCTTTTAATTTGTTTTAGGAGAGTACCAAAGAATATTTGAGATTGCTTTAGGAAAAGACCTAATGGCATAGATAGATTAAATCAGGACACCTTATATTAGGTCGCCTTATATATTTTAGCATCAAAGCATTTATCAGCATGGTGAAGGTGCAACTATTCCACCAATAAACTTACATAACTAAAATAAAAACTTTGGAATCAGAATTATTGCCAAGTATATTTGCACTTACAAGGAATTTGACGTGGTGTTGATGGTGCAGAAAATCTTGTATAATTGAACACTATTGATCTCACATTGGAGAAATTTACCTCTGCATTTAACCCTTCCCCTTGAGGAGCAATGGGCTGCCATCTTGGGGCGCCCAGGGAGCAGTGTGGGGTTAAGGGTCTGGCTCAGAGAGCCATAGTGGCTGTCTGTGGGAGTGGGTTTTGAACTCACAACTTTAGGATTCCAAACCCTATGCCCTAACCACTAGGCAACCACTCCCCTGCAAAATAGATATATATTCAGAATACAGGATCTAGTTATATACAACATATAGTATAGTAGCCTTATGGTTTTTGGAACTACCTGTGACTAATCACTTTTGTCAAGTTTTAACTTTAACATTGACAACTTTAGCAGAGTTGATCTGTTTTCTGTCAAAAGAAAAGCTCACATTCAAGCAGGGGATTTATTGAAGACTCACGAATGGTTAGTATTTTGCCTAAAGTTAAGTCCATCCATCCAGCCATCCATCCATTTTCTGTCACACATATCCCAAGCAGATTTGCAAGTGGTGCTGGTGCCTATCTCCAGCTGTCTACGGGAGAGAGGTGGTGTACATCCTGGACAGGTCGCCAGGCCATCGCAGTGAAGTTAAGTCCTCCATTGTTAATATCAGCTTAGAAAAAGAAAGTACATACTGGACCTGAGAGTGGAGATCGTTAGTCCATACGGAAGTGCATTTATCAGGTGTTACAGTGGTTCATGCATTTCCACCTTTAGAAACTTGTACACCTATTATTCTGGATAAGTTAATTCAATGAGGTATGGATTTCTAAAAATCAGCAGATAACATGAAAAAAGTTATTGTTGTTTTGAAGAAAAATTTAAAAAAAAAAAAAAAATCATCTTTTTTAACTCTGCTTTGTGTTTATTTGGGTTGATGGCCTCTCATCAGGCATAAGCACCAAGCTTTTCATCTGAAATGAGCTACGTTATGTTGAATAAGCGACAACAATAATGAAATGCAACAATCTGAGTCCACATATTCACTAAATCCTTCTATATTGGAAGTTAAATAATGAATAATTTAGAAATAAATGTTTAGGAATGTGTGAGGACAGGTTGGGAGACTTTATAGCTTTTGTTGTCCATTTCTTTCTAAATAAAAAAGGTCAAATATAAAGCTTTTCTGGCACCTTTGATATAAAGCAAAACAAATGATAGAAAGAAAGGGATCTATATGATTAAACAGTACACTCATGATGAAAAGGCATTGTGCAGACAAAACACATTCATTGAGCAATCATGACAGCTCATGTTGGACAGGTTTTAGGTTCCCATGAGTTGAGTGAACTGTTTCTCCTCCTTCTTTTTCCTTCTCATGGTTACTCACCTTTTTTTCTCATCTTCTGACTAAAGGTTGGTCTTTCTCCCAGGATCCCCTGCTATAAACAATTGCCTCAAACGTCGTCAACCAACTCTTCTTCTGGCTGACAGCCAGTATCACTCTAGGTTTCACTCTACTCTGAGACTGGCAAGAGGCCTGGGAATCAGCAGGTGCACCGACAGGTCTGCCCAGCTCACGACAAAGCTCATTGGCTCATAACCCCTCAGCCTTCTTAACTGGCAGTTAAACAGTTAGGCTCTGAGGAAGACTTGGCAACACTGACACTTTTGGCTTTAATTGAATGTCAGCTTTTGTTTTTGTTGGATATCTTTATTTGCTCCTGAACTGTGAGCTTATGGAAATCTATGGCAGGTGTGGGAAAGACAATAAGAGTACATGGTACAGATTGAAATGCCAAAACAACCTAAGTCAGGATTTAAAAAAAGAGAGAATCCTGTATAAAGCAATAACTTATCTGCATCAGATCACCAATTATATTTTCATTTAGTATAAATTCACTTTAAGCGGTCTGGAAAGATGAAACTACTTGCTAGTCCAAGGGGAGTCATAGGTAACATATGCAAACACTACAGCTTTCTGCATATAATTGATTAGAAACTTTAAGATCTAATAAACAGTATACAGGTTTTTATACCTGACCCAACTTTATAATGGGATTTTATGGTCTATGCCTAGAGTTTTTGTAACAAAAATTACCACTGCTATCCCCTCCAAACAACTCCAGTCACAAATAATGTCTATGTGATTTATTGGATAGCAACGATATGAATCTTTAAAGCAATGTCATATATGCAATAGGCTGGTATTTATACAGAAACTGTCGATAAATGTAAAAATGGGGGTGATGTGCAGCCAGTGATGCTCTTGTCTGAAAGTAAAGAGAGAGAGAGAGAAAGCAATGTAAAAAGTAAGCATATTTTGTAGTGGTTTAAATGAACACTATAGCTACATGTGGTTCTTCTTTTCATCAAAGCTATTATTTTTTTCAAAATAAGTACATCTATAGAAATTCACTATAGAGGGTCATAATAAAAATATTAAAATTGCAGAGAAAGAAAACTGTTTAAAGAATATAATAGGTCTAAAATAAATTAATATTTACTAATGGTTATAATGCCAATGCCAAAACTAAAGGATTTGGCACCAATAGAAGTAGTAGTTTCTAGTCTCGTGCCACAGAGATATGGTGCT